CCATCGGCACCATCGCATCTTCGCCGGACAGCATCCGAACACGCAGCATGCGGGGCTTGCCAGGATGGGCTATTCTGCCCTATAATCCCCTGAAATTGGCTCTTGATAGGCTCAAACCACACTGTAGTCCCCTAAATGGGCTCTTGATAGGGTTGATTACGGGGATTATGAATCCCCGAAATGGGCTACTCTACCCTATTATCCACTGAAATTGGGCTCTTTACAGGGTTTAGCACAGGGATTCTGAAGCCACATAAACCCATCCTCGTGGGCTCTAGGGTTGAGGGGCCAATCCGAGACATAAGAGATGGAGACACGGTGTGCTGCGGACGTCACAGGCGCCTGATGAATGAGCCATTTTCGGGTTTAGCGTTGAGGGTTTTGGGCTTTGGGCCCAACCCCAGAAGTCCTAAAGCCGCGTGCAGGGAAATACCGGCATCCACAATCAAAAGCTGTAAACCCCAAAACCCAAAACCCAAAACCCAAAACCCCAAACCCTAAACCCTAAACCCTAAACCCCAAACCCCAAACCCTAAACCCTAAACCCAAAACCCCAAACCCTAAACCCTAATCAACCTTAGGCTGACCCCTGGGGGACTAAGTCAACTTCCCTTAACCTCAGGCTGCACCGTAGGGACTCAGCAAGGCTTTTCTGCTGAATATGACAGTTGATTAGGGTTTAGGGTTTAGGGTTTAGGGTTTAGGCTTACGGTTAGCAAGTCCTAAGCCCTAAGCCCTAAGCCCTAAGCCCTAAGCCCGAAGCCCTAAGCCCTAAGCCCTAAGCCCTAAGCCCTAAGCCCTAAGCCCTAAGCCCTAAGCCCTAAGCCCTAAGCCCTAAACCCTAGACCCTAACCCGCATGCCCTGAACCCCAAGCCCTCAAGACACTTCCCAAAGGGGCTGCCTGACTCGATGACCTGCACAGGGCCCGGCGGTAGGGGCCCCGGACGCCTCAGAAAGTTGTTTAGGTGTTTAGGGGAATAGGGCTTTAGGGTTTAGGGCTAGGGTTTAGGGTCTAGGGTTTAGGGGTTTAGGGTTTAGGGCTGCAGACTTCGGTGAAACGGTCCAAGTCTTGGGTGTTTCAGGGCTTCCCCTGCTCGGGCGTGCTTGGGTTTATAGGGCTTCGGGCTCAGGGCTTAGGGTCTTTCTGGGACCCTATTGACCTACAGTTTGACCTACGGTTTTAAGGGTTGTACCTACTACATAGGTGGAGTACTTGCTACGAAAATGTAGCTAAATAGGGTCCCAGGTAGAGTTTAGGGTTTACGGCTTAGGGCCTTGAGTTTTGAGCATGGGAAGGTGTTGGGGGTGTGGGGGCTTTAGCCTTTCAGGGGGGGTTTTAAGTGTCCAACCGGGGCGCGTGGCTCCCGAGGACAGCCCTTTGTGCATTTTCCTATGGAACCCTAAACCCTAAACCCTAAACCCTAAACCGTAAACCCTAAACCCTACATCCTAAACCCTGAACCCTATCATTGTTGTATGGCGTTCGTCACCGAGCTCCATAAGAGTACAGAAGGGTACAACAGGGCTACCAAGAGACTCCATGGCTGACATGGACACTTCGGCAGTCTTATGCCACTCTACCCTAAACCCTAAACCCTAAACCCTAAACCCTAAACCCTAAACCCTCAACCCTCAACCCTCAACCCTCAAACCCTCAAACCCTCAAACCATAAACCCTAAACCCGAACCCTAATTAAACCCTAAACCCTAAACCGCAAAAGCCACGGGCAGAGAAGGGAGGTTTCTGAGATCCCAGAAGCCCCGAATGCCCCAAAACCCTTAGAGGTTTAGGGTTTAGGGTTTAGGGTTTAGGGTTTAGGGTTTAGGGTCTAGGGTTTAGGGAGCGCACACCAAAACTACTATTTGCGTACGAACCTGGGATGTTTCTCCTTGTACTAACCGTCCTTAATAATTAGGGGTTATAGTGCCCCCTATTAAATGGCCCTATTTTAATCCCTATTCAGGACTGCTAGTATAAGGGGGAACATGCCAAGCAAGAACCCAGCAAGACATGAACAGAGGGACTACTCGTTTTTTTGGCGGGAGGGAGGGTTCTTTAAACCCTAAACCCTAAACCCTAAACCCGAAACCCTAAACCGAGCAAATAGTAGAAAACTCTGTTGGTAGACTTGGGCTTGGGAGGGCTTGGCAAGCCCTCTGCACATCACTCCCACGGCAACACCGACCTTCGGGACGAAATGAAAGCCGAAAAGGGTTTATATTGTTCAGGGTTTAGGGTTTAGGGTTTATGGTTTAGGGTTTAGGGTATATTGTTCATATGATTTATGTGCCTTCGTAGGAATTAGAGAATAGGATGTTCCCCTCTTACACCAACAATCCTAATAAGGCTTATAATAGGGGGTACTATAATCCCTGTAAGGGGGGACATCCCAAATTATAGTACCAACTTGAGCTGTTCATTTGGTCCTCAGGGTAATTATAGTACATATGCGAGCAAAGAACCAAAATTTCGGCACTCTTGCAAGCCCCAGGGTTTTCTTAGGCCTCGAAGCTCCATCTAATGCTGGATGATGCCCCAACAGGGAAACACTGCGCAGCCGTCACTGAGGGCAACAAATGCAACCTGCGCAGCCTGGATTCGCTGTACATGCTGCAACTTCTCCCGGACGGCACTGGTATCCCCCCCTAGCCGTGGAGAGCCCCAAGCCACAACGCGGCCGTCTCTGCGGATGGCCGCAAAGGCAGACTGGGTCGCTTGGATTTCCTGTACATCCTGCAGCTGCTCCTGCGCCGCGCTGCTATCACCACCCGAATTCGGGTGGCCCCAGGTCACTACGCAGCCGTCGCTGCGGATGGCAGCGAACGCCAACTCGGACGCTTGGATGCGCTCGACCTTGCGTGACGTGAACCCCCAAAAAATCCTTGGAACTGGGGGGGGGGGGGGGGGGGTTGGGTGTGCGGGAGTATGCCCTAAACCCTAAACCCCAAACCCTAACCCCCAAAGTATGAAGAATCCAAAACTTGAGCTTATAGAGTCACCCAAGGTACATGCTGCAGGCTCTGCTGGACGGCGCTGCTGTCCTAGGATGGCTTTTAAAAACCCTCTGAAGAGGAGATCATAAACCGAATAAGGGAAAATATAGAATATCCCAAGGGCCTACCTTGAGGATCCCTAAACCCTAAACCCTAAACCCTAAACCCTGAACCCTAAACCGAATCTAGTGTCCGCGCCCTGGCCAGGAGATCCCCAGGTCACCACGGAGCCATCTTCCAGAATGGCGGCAAAGGCGCCGTAAGAGGATTGGATCCGGCGCACGCCTGTCAACCTCTCCTGCAGAAGCGTCCCTAAACCCTAAACCTAAACCCTAAACCCTAAACCCTAAAAACCTATCTAAACCCTAAACCCTAACCCCTAAACCCTAAACCCTAAATTTTACTACACCCTAAACCCTAAACCCTAAACCCTAGACCCTAAACCCAAAACCCTGAGCCCTATCAACCCTGGAAACCCTAGGCCCTAGGAGATACCGGAACCTCAAGAATCATGGGTTCCCTCCTACCCCACTCCTTTCTACCCCACCCCAGCTCCCCCGCATTCATGGGATAGTTAGCCTCATTAAGGTCATTCAAGGAGGAAACCTGGGGGGGAGTGGGTAGTTTCGAGGGGGGCTAGTAACTAAACCCATGAAAGAAACACTCGTCCCACATGTGGGAGGCTCTTTGGACGGGTTGATCGTTAACGACAGGGCGTTCTAAGCCGTCAGAGCTTAGGGTTTAGGGTACACATGTATGTATATATATATATATTCACGTATTGGATTATATTAATATGTATATTCTATCTACATTCATGACGTGTATAAGCAAATTATGTGTATATATATATATGTATATACACACATAACTGGCACAACAGCTCCTGCACAGTGCTTGAATCGCCACCGACACTCACATCGCCCCAGGTCACGACGGAGCCGTCGCCACGGATGGCGGCAAAGGCGCCGACGTTTGCCTGGGACGATGCTCAGGACCTCGACAAAACTTACCCTAACACTTTCTGATGATGCTTGCGAGGTGCAATATACTAATAGAACAATGCAAATATCATTATTGCTATTTGTATGTGCATTATTTATGTAGTATGTAAGGTCACCTTCCCCCCCCCCCCCCCCCCCCAGACAGACTCTGCTCTCCAAACCATTGGGCATATCATATACATCAAAACATAGGCACATATCTACACACATACACATTGTACATTGCAAAAACACATGTGAAAATGCACCCAAAAATGGAGAGAAAAAAAGGAGGGTACTATTGGGCATCCTCCCCCCCCCCCCCCACTCCCCCCCCCCCCCTCCCTCCCCCCCCCCCCCCCCCCCCACCCCCCCCCCCCCCACCCCCCCCCCCACTCCCCCCCCCCCCCCCCCCCCCCCACCCCCCCCCCCCCAATGCCTGGATCTCCACGACATCCTGCAGCTGCTCGCGGACGACCCTGGGTGGCTTCTTAGGGAGGGCAACTTCGTAACCCTGGTACACCCCAAGCCCTAAACCCTAAACCCTAAGCCCTAAGCCCTAAGCCCTAAACCCTAAACTAACCCTAACCAAACTTCCAAGGACTGAACTCGTGTGTCTTTGAGGGTTCTAGTAGCCCAACCATTAGGTCCCAGGAAGTATAGAACAAGTTGCCATGAAAATGAAGCCTTACTTTTTTGAAGCGTACCCAGTTGATCTTCTGACAGACTAAGGGACCTCTCTGCTTTCTTACTTCTGTACAACCCCAAAGGCCCATGTACCCACGTAGTACATACTTGGGCCTGAAAAGGGTTCGTATTTAGTGTATACTATGTGGGTACATGGACCCAGAGGGCAATGTACCACATCCTTACTTTGGCTTGTTAACGTACCCTAAACCCTAAACCCTAAACCCTATAAACTATAAACCCTAAACCCTATAAACCCTAAACCCTAAACCCTATATCCTAAAGACAGTCGCCCAGAAGCGTGCTGTCCCCACCTGGTCCGAGGCTTCCCCAGGTCACCACAGAGCCATCGCCACGAAGAGCAGCAAAGGCAGTCTGGGAGGCTTGGATATGAACCACGTCCTGCAACCTGGGCTGTTTAGGGTTTAGGTGTTAGGGTTTAGGGTTTAGGGTTGTGGGTTCCGGGTTTACGGTACCATGTTTGGCTTTGAGGGTTTGGGCTTTGCGGTGGATTATAAAATGCCACAAAAAATCAAACAACAAAATCACACCACCGAAGACCCCAAACAGTTAAAGGCATGTCAAACAAACAGGGGAGATAACGGGAGATAAAGGGAGACAAAGGAGACAAGGAGCCCAGGAACTCGGCAACAGTCTCCTGAATGTCGGCAAGCCTTAAATGAATTTAGAAACAGGACACTCTTGGGCGAATAAATCACAAGTCTCCTCATTTTGGTGGCTAAATCTATCCTAAACCCTAAACCCTAAACCCCAAACCCTAAACCCTAAACCCTAAACCCTTCTAAGCTCCTCTGCAGACCCGGAGCTGCTCCCTGACAGCCCTGCTGTCACCTCCCCGGATCGGGTCGCCCCAGGTGACCACCGAGCCGTCTCCGAGGATGGCAGCAAACGCGCCTGGGTTTAGGGTTTAGGGTTTAGGGCTTTAGGGTTTGGGGTTTGGGGTTTGGGGTTTAGGGTTATTAGCCCAGCATCCATCTTCTCATAAGGGCGCCCTTTTATGGGTATTATAACGGAAACCCAGAACCAAAAAAGTGAAAAACCTGAACCCTAAACCCTAAACCCTATACCCCAAAGCCCTACACCCTAAACCTTAAACCCTAAACCCTAAACCCTAAACCCCTGGACCACCCAAGGCGCTCATGGAGGCTTGGATGCATTTCACGTCTTGCAGCTGCTCCTGCACAGCGCTGCTGTCGCCGCCCCGCTGGGGGTGGCCCCAAGTCACCTTGGGTAGCCCTGTAACCATATGTAGGTTTTAGGGTTTAGGGTTTAGGGTTCAGGGTTCAGGGTTCAGGGTTTAGGGTTTAGGGGTTGCTCTCTAAAATTGGGGTCCCTGTTTGGGTACCCATTATACGGTGGCGTCCCTTTAAGAGGGGATCCCAAAAAGGGAGCCTAATTTGGAGAACTACGCATATTGTGATACGGGTACCCCTTTTTGGGGCTGGTTGCTTGATAAGGGAGCCTTTACTCAAACAAAAACCTATAAACCCTATAAACCCTATAAACCCTATAAACCCTATAAACCCTATAAACCCTATAAACCCTATAAACCCCAAACATTAAATAACAAACCTATAAACCCTGCACGCGGTGCCACTGTGCCACTGGGCTGCCAAGTCACAACGCGGCCGTCGCGGCAGATGGCTGCAAAGGCACGCTCGGCAGCTTGGATGGCCTTAATAGGACGAACCTATGGGGGTCCATGAGCCCTAAAGAGGGCTTATAGGGTTCATATACTCAAAAGAGGGGAGCATGTAGGAACTATAGGGTACCAAGAGCCTTACTAAGAGCCCAAGTTGAGGAATTCCTTTGGGTAACTTTGGCCCCCCAAAATTTGCCTGCACCTTCCGCAGCTGGTCAGTGACGGCGCTGCTGTCACCGCCTCCCTTGGGGTGGCCCCAAGACACAACACGACCGTCGCTACGAATGGCGGCAAAGGCGCAATCGCTTGCTTGGATGTGCTGAACATCTTGCCTTGGTAGCCCAGTAACTCTATCATAACCCTAAACCCTTAAACCCTAAACCCTAAAACCCTACAAGGGCCCCCTTTTTGGGAGGGGTTGGGTATACTTTTGGAACCTTCAACCCCCCCCCCCAAAAAAAAAAAAAAGGGCAAAAGAGGGTTGTCATTGGGCTCCCAAGTTGCAGCTGCTCCCCCTAAACACTAAACCCAAAACCCAAAACCCTAAACCCTAAACCCTAAACCCCACACACTAAACCCTGCTCCCAAGTTGCAGCTGCTCCTGAACGCAGCTACTGTCCGCGCCGAAGTGTTCGCTTCCCGGGATCCCCCATGCAACGACGGAGCCGTCGCCGAGGATTGCAGCAAAAGCACCTTGGCAGCCTAGTAATCATAGTGTTAGGGTTTAGGGTTTAGGGTTTAGGGTTTAGGGTTTAGGGTTTAGGGTTTAGGTAATCATACTACTTAAAAAGGGCACCTCCTTTTTTTGGGCCTTGGCTACCTTATCATAAGGGAACCCATATGCCAAAAAAATAAAAAATGCGGGGGGAGTAGACAGGGTACCACGAGAGCTACCAAGGCACCCAAGCGCGCCGAAGCCACTTCCACGGGCCTGCAGTGCAGGCCTTGGTAGCCCAGGAACCTCTTACAATAAGGGCACCCCTTTTTTGGTTGGCTATTTTATAAGGGAAACCTCTTATAATAAGGGCACCCCTTTTTTGGTTGGCTATTTTATAAGGGTAACCTCTTATAATAAGGGCACCCTTTTTTTGGTCATTTTATAAGGGAAACCAGAGCCCAGGAACCTCTTATAATGAACCTCTTATAATAAGGGCACCCTTTTTTTGGTTGGCTATTTTATAAGGGAAACCAGAACCCAAAAAAAGGGGAAAAGGGTATTAGTGGGCTACCCAGAGGCTCAGGACCTCTTCGTTCTGCAAGCCCACCTCGGCGATCGAAGCCTCCCCTTTCAACCCAACTCCGGCGCTCGTCACCAACTTACCAGCCACGCCCAGCTCCCTCTCCGCGCGCTTCTTGAGGGAGTCTATGGAGGAGTCAGGTTCCACCTCCAGGGTGGCGCTCCTCCCGCTCAGCAAAGCGACCTCCACACGGATCGACATTGCGCCAGACTCGGGGCCCCCTGTGACGCTTTGCGCCCTAAACCCTAAACCCTAAACCCTAAACCCTAAACCTAAACCCTAAACCCTAAACCCTAAACCCTAAACCCTAAACCCTAAACCCTAAACCCTAAACCCTAACCCTCAACTCTAACCCTAAACTCTAAACTCTAAATCCTAAACCCTAAACCCTAAACCCTAGGAGCTTGGAGCTTTGGCAACTTGACTGGAACTTGCAGAACCGAAGCCCGAACGGTTTAGGGCTTCTCGGGCTTTTGGATTCCTCTGAAATACTAAACGAAGGAGAGTAGGGTTTAGGGTTTAGGGTTTAGGGTTTAGGGTTTAGGGTTTAAGGTTACTCTTTAGGAAATTAGGGGGTAAGCCTCCATACCTCAGGAACACCTTCTTTTGCAGAATAGGGCCGTCAAAGTAATTGTATCCCTCATGTGGGTTTGGGGTGAAGGGTCTGCAGGGTTTAGGGTTTAGGGTATAGGCCTTAGGGCTTAGGGCGTAGGGTTTAGGACTCTTACAAGGGTTTCGTTTCCACAGCCTGCACAAACGTAAGTTCCTAAATGCTTGAAAACGTGTTCCCTCCCCCACCTCAACCCCAAACCCTAAACCATAAACCCCAAACCCTGAACTACCCTCCCCCCGCAGAGGAAACCGACTTGGCTTAGCTCCCGGAAGAAGAGGGCAATGGCAACGGATGTAGGTGCGCCACGACCCCCTGAACCCCAAACTCCCGAAACCCTGACACACCCTAAACCGCTAAGGGCAACCCGGTACCCCCACCCCCCTGTAGCTGCGTGACCTGGTCTTGCTTGGTGCATCAACGCCAAAACCCTAAACCCTAACCCTAAACCCTAAACCCTAAACCCCCTTAAGGCCCCTGAGACACAACCAGTTCGGCGTAAGCGGCTCCGTAGACTCCGACTGCACTTCCGGCTCGGGCGCAGGCGCCGGCCTCGGGGTTTAGGGTTTAGGGTCTAGGGTTTAGGGTTGAGGGTTGAGGGTTTATAGGGTGTAGGGTTTAGGGTTGAGGGTTTAGGGGTTAGGGTCGAGCTAGGGTTTATAGGTTTTATAGGGTTTAGGGGGTTTGGGGTTTAGGGTTTGTGGGGTTTGTTGAAACAGGGCAGGGTGCAGGGTTTCTGGGTTTTTCAATCTAGGGATCAGGGTGTAGGGTTTGGGGCTATCGGCTTCATAGAAGTATGGGCTTTGGGTTGGGGATGGTAAGGCATCCTAACGACCGAAGAAATCAGCTTACTACATGGGCATCACTGGGCATCCTGGTCTACAGAGGAACAAATACACGGTACGTAGCCTGATCTCTGGTACGGACCATAGGGCACCCTAAGCCCTATACAGGACGTCAACGCCTGAACCCGTGAACCCTAAACCCTTGACTTGAGGCTCTGTAGCAACCCTGAACACCCTAAGCCCAAAAACGCCTCAAGCCTGAACCCTAAACCCTAAACCCGAAACCCTAAACCCTAAACCCTAAACGTAAACCCTAAACCCTAAACCCTAAACCCTCAGGGATCTACAACTGGGGGAACGAGGCACGCGCAGACGCGCTGGGCTTCCCACGTCGGGACTCCCTCGGCCGCAGCCTCCTCGGCCAAAGCCAGGGCCTGAGCTTCGCAACGAGTAGGGTTTAGGGTTTAGGGTTTAGGGTTTAGGGCTTAGGGCTTAGGGTTGAGGGTTGAGGGTTGAGGGTTGAGGGTTGAGGGTTGAGGGTTGAGGGTTGAGGGTTGAGGGAATCCTTAGACCCTAAACATGAGACCGTAAACCCTCTTGAGGCTTAAGGTGTATAGGGATTTAGCCCTAAACCCTCAACCCTAAACCCTGAACCCCAAGCCCAGCGTTCATGGCAGACATCAGCCCACGGTCGTTTTGGGCAAGCATTCGTGAGGACATCCCTCCGGCGAATGAACCTCAAAAGGGTTCAGGGTTTAGCGTTAAGGGTTCAAGGTCAGGGTTTGGGGTTCAGGATTTAGGGTGGGGGATTCCCTTATGATCAGGACCCCTAGAAGGTACCCGTATTTTCGGCGACCCCCATATTGCCTTGAAAAGGACTTGTAGTAGCATAGGGTGTATGACTGCAATGTTCAGGTTTATTTCTAGGATGGCGCGTAAAACCCACTGAAGAATATTCCTGAATATGATCCCCTTAAACCCAATAAGGTGAAATACCCTAAACCCTGAACCCCAAACCCCAAACCCCAAACCCTAAACCCTAAACCCTGCCCATGCCGGAACCCCATGAAAAAGACCATGAGTTAGAGCCTACCTCCCAAAACAACCCTAAGAAGCTCCAATCCATGAGTCCTAAACGCCACAGCCTGAAGGGTTTAGGGTTTAGGGTTTAGGGTTTAGGGTTTAGGGTTTAGGGTTTAGAGTTTAGGGTTTAGGGTTTAGGGTTTAGGGTTTAGGGTGCTCAGCGCACTACAAGCCAAAACCCTAACACACAAACCATTTGCAAGGTCGGCGCTGCTTCAAGTGAGCTGTCCGTTTGGCTCCTGCCTGCTTCGCGTGGGTTTAGGGTTTAGGGTTTAGGGTTTAGGGTTTAGGGTTTAGGGTTTAGGGTTTAGGGTTTAGGGTTTAGGGATTACCGCTTCGGGTGTCTTAGAGGGCTTCAGGGGGTGGCTTGGAGAGCGTTGAGGATTTTGGGCTTCAGGGTTTCAAACCTCATAAGCCTCAAACCCTAAGCCATAAACCCCAAAGCCCTCAAACAATGGGTTTTCGGAATTAAAGAGGTCCTTCGGGCATTACCCTAAGCGTCTATGTACCTAAATAGTGAATACTTGGGCCTTAAAGTACTTCCTTTATAGGGACTTTGGGGACCAAGTCCAGAATCATAAGGTACGTGGAACCTTAGATTAACCCTAAACCCTAAACCCTAAGCCCTAAACCCTAAACCCTAAACGCTTTTAGGATTTGGTGGCTTTGGGGGAAGGAGCCAAGGATGCACGTCCTTAAGAAGGGCCTAATATAGGGGCCATAGTAATTGGAACAGGATTTTTGGGGGGTTTAGGGTTTAGGCTTTAGGGTTTAGGGTTTAAGAGTTGAGGGTTTACAATATACGGGCCTTGAAAATTAGAACCGGATTTGGGGGGTTAGTATAGTAAATTTACAAACGAACCATAATCGAGAATACTATTAGTAATTGTTCCGACCCCTCTATTAAAGGGGTGTGAGAGGCTTGGGGGTTCATGCTTGGGTGGTTCAGGGTTTAGGGTTCGGGGCTTTTTGGGTTTAGGGTTTTAGGATTTAGGGTTGAGGCTCAAGTTTGCGGGGGTCAGTTGCAGAATGCATGTGGTCAGGGCAGCATCTGGAAAAGCCAACAACTTGATTGAAAAAATCGAAGTCTCAGAGCGATCCAGGCGTCAATGTCCGCGTCCATCCGGACCATGGCTGCATACACGTCAGGCGCGGTCGTGCGAAGCTTCAAGACGACCTGCACTCAAAGCGTCGGTCCAGACCTCTTTGTGGGAGTCCAAGACTCCCGAGGCCGGAAGAGCGTGTCATCGGAGAGTTGGGGCTTTGGGAACTGTGACATGCTGGGGTTTAGGGTTTATGAGTTTAGGGTTTGGGGGTTTAGGGGGTTTAGGGTTTGGGGTTTAGGGGTTTATGGGGTTTTAGGGTTTTAGGGTTTAGGGTTTTTAGGGTTTAGGGTTTAGGGTCTAGGGTTTAGGGGCTTAGGGCGCTTAGGGTTAAGGGGTTTAGGGGCTCAGGGTTAGGGTTTAGGGACCGCAGGTTTTAGGGGTTTAGGATTTCAGGTTTAGGGGTTAGGGGCTTAGGGTTTCGGGGTTTCAGGGCTCAGGATTAAGCGGTTTAGGGGTTTAGGATGTTAAGGGCTAGGGTTTAGGGTTTAGGGTTCTAGGCCTTGGGAGTTTAGGGCTTAGGCTTGGACGTTTCATGGTTTTGTTCCGGGGCGTCGGGATGCTTGGGGTTTAGTCAAGGGGTTTTAAGGTTGTTTGGGGTCATGGCTTATGGTGTTTAGGGCGTATGGCTTCCGAAAGAATGCACAACCCAACACCCAACCACCTCTTTCCTTGGGAAGCCTAGCGAAGCTTAGCTAGGCAGCATGGGGCGGTGTGACTGTGGAACATTGGGTTACTTGCCATAAATCCAAAACCCTAAACCCTAAACCCCAAATCCTCAACTCCAAACCTGTGACTCCTTGTGGGCAGCCCAACTACGAGGGGAGGCATTGCAACAGGGCTGGTGTTGAAAAGTATGTCAATGGATCTGTGGCGAATTCTAACCACATTTTGCTTACTGATCAGCTACTCCTGAACCCCGAAACCCAAAAATCCCAAACTGCGAGCCCGAAACCTCCAAATTTCAAACACTAAACCAGCCCTAAAACCCTAAAACCCTAAAAGACTAAAACCCTAAAACCCTAAAACTCTAAAACCCTAAACCCCTAAAACCCTAAACCCTAAAACCCTAAAAAGCTAAAACCCGAAAAACCCTGAAACCCTAAAACCCTAAAACCCTAAAACCCTACAACCCTACAACCCTAAAATCCTACAACCCTAAAACCCCAAAACCTTACAACCCTAAAACCCTAAAACCCTAAAACCCTCAAACCCTCAAACCCTAAAACCCTCAAACCCTAAGCCCACCCCTCCCAACCCCCCCCCCCCCCCCCCCCCCCCCCCCCCCCCCCCCACCACCCGGCCTGGCCCGCTGGGCTTTTTGGCATCCTGCAAAAATCTTACTTAAGAGTTTTTGGGGTTTAGGGTTTAGGGTTTAGGGTTAAGGGTTTAGGGTTTAGGGTTTAGGGGTTAGGGGTTAGGGCTTAGGAGTTGGGGAGTCTTTGAACATAAGATTGCGGGCTTTGAGGGGTGAAACTGATGGTTTGATTGCAGGAAGGATAACCCGAGTTGTCAGTAGAGGCCTGTCCTTATATTACTGTATGTATGTTTGTTTGTTTGTATTGCTATGCCCCCCCCAAACCCTGATTAAACCCTAAACCTTAAACCCTAAACCCTTAT